TATTGCCATAGAAATCCCGCAACTGACACAGGTCTCGCTGGCATTCTGTGGTGTTACGGTCTCGGTAGGCGTCTTTTACCCGAAAATGTTTCCCCTCAGCCTAGTAAAAAAATGGATCCTCGTCTCATGGGAAATTAGAAAGATGTCCTCGGGCACTTATTGAGAACCCTGCGCAAGCTAACCCAGCTGGCATCAGATATTACCTCAAGCATCACCCGCGTAATCTTAAATCCCGCCTTCATCTCCACTTGCGCTTAGGTTGTGAACTTTTTGTGTAAAGACAACCATTCATTTCTCTATGCTATAAAACAAGAGATCATCGAGGGCTAATAAAGTTTTTTAATGGATGTGGACAGTTTTGTGGACCTCGAAAGCAGCATTACTGAACGCACTGATGCGATGCTATGAAAATGGGCATCTCACGGTCACAAAAATCTCATCGTTATAAACTTTTAGCTAGATCGCAGTTGGTAGCCAGGAATGGGCAAGCGGACGGCGACCTTAACCCTAACCTCAACCCTAAACTTTAACCGTTAATCCTAACGGCAACCCTAACCCTAATCGAAATCGTAAACCTAACCGTAGCCCTTAGACATAGCCATAGTTGGAAAACCTAACCGTAATACTGAAACCTAATCAGACGCTCAAACCCTAACCGTAACCCAAAAACCTAAGCCTAAAGGCATAACCCTAGCCCGAATATCCGAAACCATTAACCGCTACCCTGATTCTAACCTCAAACCTAAAACGGAAGTCAAATGGGTCAGCTGTGATTATAGAGCCCCATAAAATAGCCTCAGTAAACAAACCCCCCCCCGCCACCTGTAATACGGGTCCTGGCTACCAACTGTGATCTAGACCTTTTGGCTACCAACTGAGACCTAGCCAAACTTTTAAAACCGAATTATACCCATTTCCCTGACCAAATAATTCGAAAAAGTCGCAATTCTCTACCGAATGAATACAAGAAAGTATTGTTTTACACGTGTTACTCATAAAATATATCTGCATTTATGGCGGCATAGAAAGTCAGTGGAAGAATTACATGCGATTTTCCAAGCATTGTGATTTTACAGGTGTCTAAATGGAGCTCACTCAGAGGATGGCATCCTGGGATGACCGAAATAACTTGGAATTATGCTTCATGATAATCAATAGTAGAATACCATTCAAGTAATCCCTTCTATTCGAAAATACATTTCACAACTTCCGTTAGAATTTCATCAGATAACCCAGTTACTGTACATTTAAGGACGTTTTGAAATTTTTTTGGAAAAATATAACTTTATTGTTCTAATGTCCGAGTTCGATTCCCCAGCTCGTCGTCAGACTATGGTTGGTCTAGAAAAACAATTAACTAGGCAACCGTATATAGTAAAGAATTCTACGTTTGGCCGACGTCTACGCCAATGCCCGTTAACTGCAGTCCATCATAGCTCCGGAATTGACTGTGCTCGTTTCAACATTTCCTTTAGGATTTTGAATGTGGCGTCTAAATCGATGAGCCGATTGATGCATGTCCCATTCGATCGCATTGCTTCCAGGAATTCACGACACTCGTGTTCGCCTAACTAAATTTGTGTTCGGTGATCACCTGGAATAGATGGCCCCGTCTCTTCGGGAATAACTGATGCTCTTGTGTACGACTTGAGCCCGATTTCCCAGTTTGACCACAATAGAAGACATCGCAATTGGCACAGGGGTTTTTGTAAACAACAACTTTTCTCACGAATGGAAGAGAATATGCGCATGCCAGGTTCTTGGTTAAAAGAAGACGAAGGCACGGCATCTTAGACAAAAGGTGGATAATTCACTTTGATCCAACCGTGAAGAACTCGGTGCTTCGGTAGGATTCGAACCCACGCAGCAAGAGGAGGCTTTAGTACAGCCAACGCCCTAACCATCCGAGCCACAAGGCCCCACAGGATGACGCGAATTTAATCGAATTCGGGCCAAGATTACTCGCCCAACCTACTGCAACGTCTGGAATCCACCAAATCTGATACAGTAAGCTGGCTGCCCAAGCAGGATTTCCTAATTAATACATCTAGAATCCACCAGATGACTACCAGACTCACGTAATTCAGAGGTGTTTTGGCAGATTTCAAATAATTCAGTTTGACCTAACTGTGAAAAACTCGGCACCTCGGTGGGATTCTAACCCACGACAGCAAGAGGAGGCTTTAGAACAGCCAACGCTCTAACCATCTGAGCTACGAGGCCTCACCGAACGAAGTGAGTTTAACCACATGTGGGTCAAGTTTGTACGCCTAATTTGCTAGAACATCTCTGAAAAAGTGAATAAACATTTCTCGTATGTGTTGCAGCAATTCTATATGCCTGATTCGCGGTAGCATTGTGCAAGCTTTCACAAACCGAAACATGTTCTCAGCACTACCTCACGTTGAAACAAATGCTTTAAAACAGGAATAAGACATCATCATTCTACCTGAGGACAAAAGAGATGTCACCAGCATTCTAAACACACGAACCTCTGGATGCCAGACCTACAGTGCGTGACCGATCTGATGAAATATTGGCCGAAATACTGAAATGCGTTTTCGATTAGGAAGGATTACTTAAGTGGGGTTGTAATGCTTCTTGTCAAACCAGATAATTTCATTGTATTTCGGACTCGCCAGGATGTCGGCTTTCGAATGCACTTCCTTTTGATCTTCTATAAAAGCCACACTCGGTAAAAGGACGACTAAAGTAGCATGTTTTTTTCACATTGATTTTCGATCGTCTTATAAATTTAAATATTTATTATGGAAAACATGCACAAAAATGTGCTTTCTTCTACTTGTTCGGTAGAAAATAACATTGTCTTCACATTTTATATCCGAATAAAGTGTATATTTAGGTTCTGAAAAAGTTTCTTAATTCCCTAATAATTTTGGGCCAGATCAACCGTGGCATTACTATTTAGCAATTCCAGTCTACAAGGTGCATACTTTTCGCATAAGACAAACCATATATTCCTCTGTGCCTCTAAAGAGATACCATGTTAAGCCCATAAGATTTCGAATTGGATGTGAACTATGTTGCGCGTTTCACAAGGAACATTGGTAATCGGAGATGTATGACGCTGTGTGTATGAACACTGCTCTGTCTTAAAAATCTCATAATTAATAACTTTTAAAACCTAAATATGCACTTTCTTCAAACATTAAAGGTAAAAACAATGTTATTTTGTTTCAAACAAGTAAAAGAAAGCACATTTTTGCGCATGTTTTGAGTACAAAATATTCGAATTTATAACACCGTTGAAAATCAATGTGAAAACACATACTACTCAAGTAGTCATTGTTACCAACGGTGGCTTTTATAGGTCAAAAGGAAGTGCATTCGAAAGCCGACATCCTGGCGAGTCCGAAATGTTATGAAATTATGTCGTTTAATAAGCAACCTTACGACACCACTTAAGTAATCCTTCCTAGTAGAAAACGCATTTCAGTATTTCGGCCAACATTTCCTCAGATCAGTCACGCACTGTATATTAATTGGGGCTTGTAAGTATCGGCTTTTAGCGCCAGACCTACAAACTCATGGAACTTTTGCATCAGAAAAACGCCGGAACGTGCCGCAGAAAAATTTATCTCCAGATTTCTTGTCAAGTGTTTAAAACAGCCTTAACCAACAATTGCCAAGCTACATTGTCTTCCTGAAATTTACAAAACTGATGTACCGCTGCAGTGGGCACAGCCACAGAACTTCGATACTCCCGCATAGGACACAAAAGACTTGCTAGACGAATTAAACGGAGTCACCTTTCTAAGCAACCAACTAATGACATCATTCAATGTAATCCCGGGCTTCGCCATGCTTCCGCTAGATTGAGCGAAGTGCCGGAACAAAGAACTCATTCAAACTTATACCTATATAAAGTACGTAACTTACTCGTTAAGCATGAGGACGGAATGTGAGACGATCAGTTTTGGGGAACTAAAAATTCTGCATATTATTTAACTTGGCTGGCCTATACTGGTGCAATATGTTTACAAACTGTCATATCGGGCAAAATATATACAAATTCGAGCAGAAGTCTGCGTAGTCATTTATTACGGCGGATCGAACGTCGCGTGTTACCAGGTCCTACGTGCGCTCCACAGCATAATAGACACAGGACGGCGACGTGTTTGGATTTGTTCACAGTGATGGTAGACTTGCAAGCATCCACCTCACTCGCTCTTTTTGAATCCGGCGACAAGACTCAATCAGGACGACCGGAGGTGGCATCCGACGCAGACTGTCTACGCGGGCCACACACGACCTGTTGTTTACACAATGGGGCACGGTGTCACGGGCGTTCCTCAGAGTACCAAGCGGCCACCTTGAAGAGGAGTAATTTAGCCTGATTCTTAGCCCTCTAACCATTCGCCCACGTACACACACACACAGTACTGGCCGCGTGAATCGACTGATCCCTTCAGTAGGCAGTCTTCCAAATCATTCCGTCTAGCGCGTCCTGATGGATGCATGGGGTTTGCTAGCGTTAAACACAAACGAAGTCATAGGTTGCGTTTAAACGCACATGGGAAATATCGTGCCCTTCAGGACCGAAATAGCCTCACTTTAGCCATCCACTTCGAAATCGATACAAGTTTCTACCAAAAGAAACACGGTTCGTGAAAGTGTTATGCACACTTTTTAACATTGCGGTTGCATTGGTGCATGCGTCGGTAGACCGTGGAAAAGTACACAGCACTTGACGGTTCATTTTTTCTAGAAGCATGATAGAGATGGCCAGAGATATCTGTGACTGAAATGCAGCATACCGTAGAGTACATAAATTGTTATAACTCTTGCTGAAAGATATTTTCTACAGAGGTGGTCAATTCAAAATGCACTCACTGCATCACTATTTCCGGGCGTTGCCGATGGCTTGGGCAACGTTAACCAACTTCAACCAAAAGACCTATCTTTTTATATGCCCCCCAGCAGCGCATCAACCAGCGTTATCTCGTTTACCACTGGTTATGCTGACGTCAGTATTAACATCAGGAGTAGTAGTAGTAGTAGTAGTAGTAGTAGTAGTAGTAGTAGTAGTAGTAGTAGTAGTAGTAGTAGTAGTAGTAGTAGTAGTAGTAGTAGTAGTAGTAGTAGTAGTAGTAGTAGTAGTAGTAGTAGTAGTAGTAGTAGTAGTAGTAGTAGTAGTAGTAGCGAACCATAATGCGGAGAGAAGTTTCATGCTGGGATTTCGGCTAGCCAGCCTCAGGACCTTGAAAATTGTGTACATGACCTCGCAGACTGCTCACCTCTTCAACTTTCACGCCGTTGGGACTGGGAAACTAGGTGACGATCACACATCACAGCAGGTGCAAAAAACCCGCATGTCAGCTGACCGCTCAGTCAACAGCCACCTGCTCCGTGCCTGGCTGGACCAAGCCCTCCGCTAAGAGGTTGTGTAGGCGTGGAACCGTCGGGGCCGCCAATTGTCGCCGCGGTCAAGGGGGACAGGTGCGGCACTGAGAGTCGGCACCGACAGTCAACGCACCAAATCCACTACCCAGGTGTGATATGATGAGAACTGTGCACGTGATGATTTTCCAGTCGTTGAAGGTGGGCGTCAACTGCAACACCGCGCCTCTAACGCGCACTTGCAGTCGCGTACCAGTGCCAGTCTGGTTTTCGGCCAAGCACAGCCATCCGAACCAAGCGGTTAACTTCAAGGTCAACTCAGAGGCTCCGCTCAAGGCGGTCTGTTGTCTGCCCTGTAGCTGTCTCTTGATGTACCGCTTCAAACCCTAAAGAGCCTGTCTTTCTGAAATCCGTCTGTTGTTAAGCGACCACTGAACACTCTATTACATCATTCCTAACGAAGCTACATGCATTAGGTTCGAGACTGTTAGGCGCACGGCGTTAGCCATGGGGCTAAGGTTCATGGTTCAATCCCAGACGTGTACAGATTCGACGGTTGTTTTGTAGGTGTTCCGTGTGTATTTGTGTGTGTTCGGGCCCTCAAACCGAACCTATTTACCGCATTTAGTCCAAACAAACCACGGATGCCTGTGGGATGCGTTGGACCCAGGCTTCACACTGAATCAGTCACCACACCTGATCTCATCGGCATTCGCCTTGACGCCGCTGGCATTTCGACCGTCGCGTGCAGCAATGTCCGCTGTGTGCCCCACGGCACGGTAGACGCGGGATGGCGACGCGCGAGTGAATTATTTCACAGTGCTTGCACAGTAGATGAGATGGATATTAGCCCACTGAGGAGCCGAGCCCCTCGCAGCTGTGTCATGCAGCGGTAGAATATAGATAAAACACGTGTTTGGGGCTTTCAGCCAGTGCCTATGTCTGCCTATATCATGAGCCGCTGTTCGACTACTGGTTGGGCTCGAGAGGGAGCCTGTAAGGCACAAAGGAACTAGCGATTCCCGTAAGGACGATCGGTGAGCGCCCCTCTACCAACACAGAAATTTTCACGAACCGTCCAATCAGATCATGGCCTTGAGTTGTTAGCGTGTCGACTGGACTTCTGACTCATCTGAGTGGCTGGGCATCCCTCCAATCCTGTCGGTGGCTGGTGCAATATCAACACGCGCACGCCGTGTGGGCGGATCGATAGGACGGCGTGTGAGCGCGTCCTAGGGCGGCTCCTCCCAGCACTCCGGGCTAGTCATTAAGTATGTTGGGTTAGTGTCCGCCCGCAAGAGTGGTTCTTAGAAGGGACCACTCCCTGAAAAAAACAGGCAAGAGTACAGTGCCATTTTATCAGGTTTAGCAGCGTGCAAAGGCGGTGAGGCATCGCGTTTCCTGCGGGAATTCACAAGGTACTTTTCAGAAAAACGTCTGGAAAGGTCTTGAGGACCGTGATAGCGGTTTGCCGCCCTAATCAACGATGACCCTCTTTGCCACACAGTTACTGTACTTTGGATAGTTGGTGGGCGGGTGTCTGGTAACTCTTTGTACAGTTCGATTTTTTAATTTCCTCGGAAGTTACTTCGTGAACGTGGAGAAAGACCTTCGAAGCAAAGTTTTTACGCTCGCCCTGAAAGCTGATGTAAATATCTGGGTTGAAATCCATCATGAATGGAGGCAAAAGTTGGAGTTTCAGGTGTACGTATAAGTGAAGAAGAATAAGTCAGTGCATCATCATCTACGGAGGCTGCTGATGACTTATGCGAAGTGGACAGACTTCAACCAAAAGACCTATCTTTTTCATGCCCCACAGCAGTTCTTTAACCGGCATTCCCTTGTTTACTGTTGGTGATACCGATACCAGTAGTAGTAGTAGTAGTAGTAGTAGTAGGAGGAGGAGGAGTAGTAGTAGTAGTAGTAGTAGTAGTAGTAGTAGTAGGAGGAGGAGGAGGAGTAGTAGTAGTAGTAGTAGTAGTAGCGGCAGTAGTAGTAGTAGTAGTAGTAGTAGTAGTAGTAGTAGTAGTAGTAGTAGTAGTAGTAGTAGTAGTAGTAGTAGTAGTAGTAGTAGTAGTAGTAGTAGCGTACCATATTACGGGGAGAAGTTTCATGCTGTGATTTCGGCTAGCTAGCCTCAGCACCTTGAAAATTGTGTACATGACCTCGCAGACTGCTCACCTCTTCAACTTTCACGCCGTTGGGATTGGGAAACTAGGCGACGATCACACATCACAGCAGGTGCAAAAAGCTCGGTTGTCAGCTGACCGCTCAGTCAACAGCCGCCTGCTCCCTGCCTGGCTGGACCAAGCCCTCCGCTAAGAGGTTGTGTGGGTGTGGAACCGTCGGGGACGCCAATCGTCGCCATGGTCAAGGGAGACGGGCGCGGCACTGAGAGTTGGCGTACCTTGCAGCAGCTCCTCAGAAATGATGAAGGAGGAGAAGAAGAAGAAGAAGAAGATGATGATGATGATGATGATGATGAGGAGGAGGAGGAGGAGGAGGAGGAGGAGGAGGAGGAGGGACAGACCATGCGTTTGGCAGACACAGACAAGTTATTCTGAGTTCTGTTAGCCCTTCCTCACAACTTCAGGATCATTTGGTTGACCGGGTCCGGCAGTCGACTTGTGCATGGGATAGGGAAGAGATATTGAAGTCAAATCTCAGCGCATAATTCCTCGTCATAAAGGATCCAACGCGCTTGAGATTATCAGGGCGCGTTTAAAGCCATGGCTTGGAAGGTTGCCAAATGACGCTTCAACTCAGACAACTCAGTCGGCCCGGTCGTTTTTTCGTGAGTTGATTGGCCGGCTGGTTGATTGCAATTCAAACTGCGATGTCTGCTACTGAATGACACTCGCTCACAAATGTGTGTGGAGGAGGTTTCACTAGACTGCCTTATTTTCGCAGACTGTTAGATAAGTTAAGATTCTTATTGATCCAACTGTGAAAAACTCGGCGCCTGAGTGGAATTGAACCCATGACAGCAAGGGGAAGGCTTTAGTACAGCGAACGTTTAAGCCACCTGAGCCGCGAGGCCCACCGGAAGACTTGAGTTCTATCACATTTGGGTCAAGTTACGTGCTCAGCCGACTGCAAAGTCTGAAATCCATCAAATTTGACACAGTAAGCTGACTACTCAAGCAGGATTCCCTAAGTAATTCACCTAGAATCCACCAGATGACTACTAGGCTGACGTAGGTCCGAATCCCACCGAGGCGCCGTTTTTTACAGTTGGGTTGATAGGAATTTCTCAAAATCTGCCAAAACATCTAGAAATTGTGATTCGGCATTGCACCAGTACTATTATCTCTTACGGTATCTTCACTACCGTCCGAACGCAGTCTCGACTAGTCGGTCGGACTTACGAGTCAGGGAGCATGTCTCATGCAAGTGCCTTAGGGGTGCAAGGCCGTGAACGCGAGGACGCTAAACTGCTGCCCTCACTAGGACTGCTACTGGCGCTGATGATGATAATTTTGGTGGTTCTGGTAGTGATGATGATGATGATGATGATGATGATGATGATGATGATGATGATGATGATGATGATGATGATGATGATGATGATGATGATGATGATGATGACAAGTGCGACGATCCCGGATGAAGGGGGGAGCCGTGAAGGTTCATAGGTATGCGTTAGCATGGCTACAGCATCCTATAAATACCGCAGCCCTTTGTGCAGCAACCACCCGTTTCTGCTTTTTTGTCTCTGATGATAGATTCGAGTAGGAATCCGAAGCGTCAGGCTAATAAAGCTCTTGTCCCGGCGATCGTGTCTCCTTCTTCAAGACTACTTCGTGACGGCGGCGGCGGCGACGACGACGACGACGACGGTGGCGGCAGCGGCGGTGCTGGTGGTATTGGTCTTCGTTGTCGTCGTCTAACCCGCAAGCGCGGAAACCGTGTAACATCAGCCACTTCTAACAGTTTAACCATCAGCCGACCTAACCCAGACCTGTCACCGATGAATTTTTCACGAGGAGAGAGTAAGCCCGACTCGATGCGCATCCAGCGCCCACCGTTTACGCCGTGACGAACGAATTGCGCTTTTAAGCTGTCAGAACACACTGAAGGTTGCGACATGCGAAAATTGCTAAATTAGTGGATTACTTGGTCCTACTCTGAGCTGTGTCAGTCCGCCGTGACCTACCCTTGTGCCAGCTCTCGCGCTGGCATCAAATTGTACCATTTAGCATCCGCGCTGCACGCGTAGATGTGGATCCACTCTCACCAACCGATACATCCACGTTCGTCGGCGATCTTCACGGGCCCGTCGTGTTGTGGCTTTAGGAAGAAAGTGGATTCGATGCAGCGACACTCCACCTCAACATAAACCAACTCACTCGGCTCTCGTCGCTTAAAATGGATGAATTACTATCCTTATAATGATAGGTGCGAATTCGCCCCACGAAGCCAATACACGACCGAAATGTGCGGTTACAGGGAGGATATTTGGGTTGGGATTTGACAGTGTTATTTCTCGGAATTGAAGGTTTTTCGCATTTAACGCTTACCTAAAATTCTTGTAGGTGGTCGCTCTTGAAGGTTAATCCTTCGTTGATTTCCATTCTAAGGTTCAACAATCCACCCAATCAGGTGAATGCTCCTTTCATGCGACCTTGGATACTCTCGATCGTAAACGTCAGGACGTGAGTTCCCGTTACAGTACTACGTCATACCAGGTGGTTCTCTGGGAGGTGGGGGGACGCTGGGGGGTTCCCAGGACTCTTGACGGATTTCAGTATATCTGTGGGGGGTCTTAGACTTGACCTTGTAGCTGGTCGACTAGTGGACCTGCAATATCCACCAGGTCACGTGGTGACTGTCAGGATAAACAGAAAACACCAGAATGAGGGATTTATATCATACGGAAGACCGAGCCGTTGTCTCAGGCGACAATCGTCATTAACGAGGTCAGGGCATGTGCTAGCCGTGTTGAGCCGTGCCTACGTGTGTGTGTGTGTGTGTGTGTGTGTGTGTGTGTGTGTGTGTGTGTGTGTGTGTGTGTGTGAGGGGGAGAGTCTGTGGTATCGACTGCATTTGTATGTACGTCGGTTAGTTCAAGAGTGCTTATGTTCCATGGATTATGGCGCGTTACCTGAGGAGCGATATGTTCAAGGGGAGCACGGACAGCTGCAACTGTCTGGACGAGTCGAATTTGATCGGATGGTTGAGAATCAGCCATCGAGATGGATATGGCTGACCTTGAGTTGTTCGAGTCCAAAAACGGAGGTGGATGGTGTCATGATAGCTGCCAGCCACAAGACGTAACTTCATCCTATTGTTTCAATTTGGGATGTAACTGTCATTGCCAGCCACAAGACGTTACTTCTTTTGACTGTTTAAATTAGAGACTTATTTGCCACTATCAATCATTCATGAACAAAATTAATTTGAACTTTGTATAACCATACACTATTAATTCAGCAAAGCATCGCCAACCCATATCTTGGCTCACTTGAGAGACTTACTGGCTGCCACATTTCATCCGACATTTTCCCTCAGGCATTCGAAAAGTGAACGGAATAAATATTGACAAGGACGAGAGAAGAAGAAGATGCGATCACTGGAAAAAGAAGAAGTTTATTTGCCTGATGTTTCGGATTCTCGCCCGAACACATCATCAGAGACGGTCGCAGCTAAAGGTGGTGGAGGTACAAGGACTGCAGTACTTATAATATGTAGCTGCCGCGGGGCCACTTGAGTACTATAATTAACAGCTCTCGCGATCACCGCTGGGAGGATCGTAACTAAGTCGATGATGGCTCGTCGATCTGCGTCCGAGTCGTTAATTGCCGCAAGTTCCTTATCCGTGTTGGATGCTGGCGTGATGATTACTCGGCAGTTTGGCCCGCTGTCACCGGCACTGTTGCTCGCCCGCGCCCTCCACACGAAACTGATCCCCCTGCTCAGGGACTGTCTCAGAGCATGTTGATGGATTGCTGGCCTGAGAAACATTATTCGAACAACTCGCGGCTCACGTGGCTGTCACCTCCTGCGAGGACTTTGGCCTCTGGAAATTTTAAAATATGGCCGAGTTCCGTGAAATGAGCCGCCACCTGAGAGCTAGCGTCTCCTCGCCTTGCTGCTGCTGCGTACTCAGCCATACGCGTGCGGAGCAATCTTCTAGTTTTCCTGACGTATTTGCTCTGTCCGCAACTGCAACAGATCCGGTAAACGACTCCTGATGTTTTCTATCATGACAGCGGGCTGTCGGCCTCATGATTCGGCGTCTGATGGTTGCTTCCGGCCTGTGTGCAACCCCAACTCCGAGTGGAGTGAGAAGGCGGCTGACGGCTTCCGGGACGCTCCTCACGTAAGGAAGCGCTCGCCAAAATGTAGGGCCGGTTGGATTTGATTTCTGGTTTCGTCTGCATTCGCAATGGTTGATAAAGTTGCGCGGGTAGTCATTGGCTCACGATATCCGTCGAAGATACTCCGATTCAGGCAATGGCGAGAGAGAGACTGAAATGCTCGTTTCTGATTTAGTAGACCTCCTCAGACAGCCATTTTCTAGTGCCAGTTCTGGGCAGCCCAATCTATTCGCAAATTATACATTAGATCAGGAGAGTACCCAGAAGACCGCAGACTCTTCACTCTGACATTTGTGGCACAAAGTCGATTACATTGGGGGGCATGCTCGTTCAGGCCGGAGCCCGCGGGATGACGAATTAAGGTTCAATGACCGAAGGATCCGGGTCCGACTTCGGGGTTATCCGGCCCTGGGCCGACGTATGGCTGGTTTATGACGGCTAATAAACCAGAAACGGCCATGTTAGTCCTCCCCGTATTTATCGTTATTCCCC